GAAATTGAGTTTCGAACAATGATAAACTGCTGAATGTGGAAAGTATCGCTTCAGCAGTCTTCTAACTTTGGATCTCATAATAATCAGAATTAGAAACTGTTCCAAATATCCCTCAGGTTAATCTTCGTGCTGTGCACAGTGTTGGCACTAAAGATTTTTGTTCAATCAAGCCAAACATTATTCATAAAATGGAAGAAATACTAACATGATAAGCCGTCTTTCTGGACTTTTTCCTGTGATGTGTACTGCATGGACTACCTGAAGAGTTAGATGTCTGAATACGATCAGGATTAGAAGAAAATGCTTTGGGGTGAAGAAAAAGCTCAGTGCAGTCTGCTTCATTAACATAGTCTGAGGCATGATTAAGGTGCTTTGTTTTCTTACAGTCACAGGAATACATTTAGCCAAGAATTCATAACATAAACACAAAAAATAAAAGGTGATTTGTGTAAGTTTTGTAGAAATGTTGGAGAAGTAAGGGGTCTCTACCTGACTTGTTGTTAGTAGTCGTTTTTTTTAAGCTAAAGAACATATCTTACTAGACTAATGGAACTACCCCTCCCTCCCACTGAGAACCGAATATCTTCCTCTTGACAACTACAGCAGTAGTTTATAAGTCAAATTAACATTGGCTACTTTTAGAATTGTTTCTAGCTTCTTTTAATGTTACCACAAACAGCTGGATATAAGCGTAAGATCCACATGATCAGTAAATCCAGGATGAAAACAGCTAGAATAGTAAGATCATAAAGATAATAATTTATGGGAAAATTTCTACCATACATTACAACTTGTTTTGCCTCTACTGCAGTTATAAGAAGAGAGATCAGACTGCTCAGAATAGTTGGAAATATTTTAAAGTTTATCTGCCTTGTTAGATTACACCTTGTAATTTCTTCCGGTGGGAGGAGAAGGAAGAAATCATTCAGTGCTTTCTATGGTCCTCTTTCCTTAGCAGAAAGTGCAGCCTCTTTTCTCCACAGTATGGGAAACAAGTATTAATCTTTTCATTCAAAACAGAGTATTTCCAGGTTAATATAATAAATGATGTCTCTATTATCTACGAATGAACATGATTCATCCACCTCTCAAAACTGGTACAAGGACCAAAATTTTAAAAGTTCAGTTGATCAAGGAGGGATGTAGTTTAGACAGCCATCTATCCTCAGCTGTTTTTTGTGCAGTCTGCTGTTGTAGCTTAATTTTACCCAGAGGTTCATCAAACATCTGTTTTAATCATTCAGCTAAATTCAGTCTTTTTTTCTGTGGCATTCTAGTCATCATGACATTTCAGACATCTCTATTCCAGATGATCCTGGTACTTCCAGTGTTTTGCCATGTACACATGCATGACATAGATGAAGGCAAAACTCACAGAATGCTTTCTCACAGAATTTCCCTCCTTTGCCTATAAAGCACCCCACTGACATTTACACAGGTGTTAGCAAATTGGTGGTTTATGTCTTAGGGACACATTTTTCATTCAGTTCAATGATGCACTGGAATAATTTAACTACTCATAGTGGGTTCCTTCCATAAAGCAGCAGCTGCCAAAACAGGCTTAATCATGAATGGACAAAATCGTGAATTAGACAAAAAAGTCACACAGAACTTAAAGTCCATGCTCTTATTATTCTCTGCAGAACATCTGTAGAAATGACAATCTAAAAATGGTGTGTTTAATAACACAGAGATTTTGTATTCTGCTGCTTGAGATATAGGGACGAACAATAAACATAGAATTCTGTAAAAGCCACCAAGCTTGGGTTATGCAAGCTTATTTTGGATTGGTATTTTAACCTTTTCTTAATTCGCCATAGATATATATTATTTTTAATTTCTTGAATATTACATAGAAATTTTCTCAATTTTGTGTTAGCTTTAAACTTATACGTAAACTGAGAGAACATATAGAATAGAAACAGCATCTGTTATAAAGGACTGTTAAAAATGTTACAAATGTCGAGACTGTAAATCAACATATTTCCACTGAGTCTTGTCAAGTTACCTTAACTTTTACCATGTTTTCTCCTGTTGATGTGTTATGCCATGCAAATTCAGGCATTTAACTCAGCTGTATTAACCATCTAGCGATGCAAGGTTCATCATACACACAGCAGAGAGAGAGGAGTTTCCCATCCTGTGCTTTACAGCAAAAACATTAGCAAGATTCAGTCTGTCTGCAGAGAAGTACTTACGCTTATTTATATACCCTTCATCGCTTCTTTTGAAGTTTGACAGAAACCAACACTCAGTTTATGGACTTGTGTCGACTATACAGGCTTATACTTCTCTAGGTTCTATCCAGGATCTTTTAGCAAATTTACACTTGTGGGGATTGATCCCAAAGCCACTAAATGTAAAGGTAACCTTTCCCTGATGGTCTATGAGTTTTTAATCGACACCTGTTTTTAGCATTAATTGTCCTATTTTTTTGTTTATCTGTAGAAAAATTTTGACAGTGAAATAAAAATAAAAGCTTCTCAAAACACTTCCTGCTTATCTGTGCTCATGGAATAGTAAATTAACTAAATATAGCCTATCTTTCAAAAAATGCATAATGAATACTGCTATTGTTGTAACCACTACTTATGTTAAGAAAACAGAAGTTCCTCGAAACATTTGAGAGAAGTTCTAATTGCTCTTTATTCAAAGTGTATCTAAAGCTAGTAAGTCAATGAGTTGCCAGTTGAAAGTACACCTGGCTTGTAATGAATGCTATGTTAAATTTTGTTACTGTCAAAATTTTAAAAAAGGAAAAATTGCTTTTAAGTAGTACTTCAAGTTCCCCAGCTTATTGCTCCATTCTCTCTGAATAAACTCCAGCCATTAAAAAACCCAACAATTTCAGGATTCTAAAGTCAACCGCAAAGTGAGTAAGCACCTAACAAAATCTGTTTATGTTGTTTTCTCCTTAATCTCTTTCATCCTCAAAAAAGACAATACCAAATTTCAAATAAGGTATTATGTATGCATATGTTTTAGTTTGTTTATAAAATGTTTCTTTTGGTATCATGCATTAACTGAGAAACCTACAAGCAATTTTGAGTTTATTCAAACAAGTACACTTTACATATGTGTATACTAAGAAATTACGCTTTTGTCCTATTCAGACAATCAATTTAATTGTATGAATATGCAGACTACTATTATGATGATTTCCATAAGACAGTGTGTGGAAACATGTTTTTATTTGCAGCAGAAAACAGAAGCACTGAAAAGTATTATTTGAATTACAGAGCTACTGTATTAGCATTTTTTGTTTTTTTTTTTTCCTGCTGGAAGTCATTATCTGAAGAATAACAAATCATTTCGAAGTAAAAGCAACTAATAAGTGAAATTTAGTGTGAGAAGCTGTGCAATTTAGTATAATTTGTGTGTTCAGTGTTGGGTTTCATAAAAGAAATGCAAGAGATATTCATTAATCTTGTCTTTAGAGGTCAAAGCCAAATCATCCTTTACTACAAGCTAAGGTGAATCAACGTAAATCAAAACTGACTGTGTAGTTGCCAGTCAAGTAATATTTTCTGTGTTTCAATACTCAGACATACGTTTCTTTTGTTACAGGCACTTGACATAAAATTGACTGGGCCAAGGTATTAAAACAAAAAGTACCACATATTTATACTACAAAATATTTTTCTGACTTAAGCCTACATACAAAAAAAAGTCAGAATTTAAATATAATTCATCTAAACATGTTTTCCTATATCAAACAGGATTTTTTAATCTTTGCTTACTGTATCTGTGATATGCCGTTACCTTGGTAGTCACTTCCCCTGACTTTATCCAAAAGGCCACAGACATCAAGCCTGATCCAATTCAGCAAGCCTGCTTACTCCAATTGTTAGTGAGGAAAATGTTTTTTGGCCACACTGTCTCCCCTATAAAATTTCTCTGCTTGCGTTAGCAGGTATATTATCGAGCTATACAGACCTGTTCTTTAATTCTGCAAGCAAGAGTGACCTCTAAATCCAAGATATGTCAAACCTTTGCACAATTATGAGGGGACACATGTTGACTTTTCCAATTAAATTAAAAAGTATATTTTAAAACATTATAAAAAACACCTGCTAGAA